ATGACTAAAATGCTATTTTTTTTTATTCGGAATGACAAAAAGAAAAAGAAAATTTCATTTCATTTCTTTCTACGAAGTTGTAAATTTGAATGAAATTCGGCAATAATAACTAGACTGCAAATCTTTATGCATTTAAACTATATACAGATTTTTCAAATGTAAAAAAATGTATAAATCAACAAGGTCTACTAGGCATCTTAATATTTTTTAATGTTTTAGAAGTAATCTTTTAATTGAACGAGGAAATTTNATAACCCTTTAATTAACAAAGGCAACTTTTCTCTGATTCTGATTTTTGTAAAATGACATTCCAAAATGGAAATTAGTATTTAATTAAGTATTTAATTAATTAAATTAGTATTTATTTAATTAAATTAAATTAATTTAATTTAGTATTTAATTAATTAGTATTAGTATTTAATACATAATCAATACATATGTCGATGTATACGATTCAGCAATAACTAGACTGCGAATTTTATGCATTTATAGTAAAATTGAGTAGTTGCAATTTGAGATAGAAGGAAAATTAAAAGAATTTATAGAAATGTCAATGTATTATTTTTAACCGATTAAAATTATTGAATAAATAAGGAACGTACCGTTCAGTTTCTATTTCTTACAACCGCTGCATACAATTTTTATCATGCTTGGAAATCCGCGGTCTATTGCATTAACGTGTTCAGCATAGTGACTGAAAAAATTATGTTTCAAATTCACTGCAATTCGCAATGCAACGAAACATCAATCTTACATCCTCCGTAAGTGACTCCAGTAAATTGAAATTGAAACGAAGCAGCGTTAATTTTTTCAATTACCTTCACACGCTATAAATGTCCATAGATTTGCGGTCTCTGTAACAATGAGAAATTTGTTTGATCTGAGCAAAAAATTTCTCGCAATCGATGCAATCCGTACTAAATGTAAGAACGCATATTGAATAGATGCGCTTGACAGACGAGCTCTTCGTACGCTTTTGTTCCCCGCAACGTGTGAAGGCTCGTTGAATCACATCTCCTCACTTAAATCTCAGCACTCCCCCTTTTTTTCGAACGAATCTCACTCTTGAAATAGAAGTCGATGACTGTAATTATCGCGAAATGTGTCTGCAGTGGCGGTAGGTATGACGCGACGTCGACCACTAGAAAACTCGTTTCGTATCGCGATGTTCGCTTGAAAAGGTTCAGCGACAATCGATAATTGCTGTCGTAATTTTTATAAAATATTTCAATTGATAAATCACGGTCGAAGAGAGCATAAGTTGCGCAATTATCTGTAACCGCATATGTATATGTATAATGTACGACACGATCGTTTTGTTGATTGAATTGATTGTGCGAAAATTATTGTATCGTAGATCGAATTTAACCACAGAATGATTTCTATTTATCAATGCCATTCTGTTGGCAACGTGCTGTATTGACGAACAAACAGCCATAAAGTGGTATTCTTAATAACATAATTTGTCATATCTTTTTTATATTTATCGTTTCGTAGCGAAGTTTTCTGAAAGTAGTCTTAAAATATTGATTTATTGTTTATCTTCCTCTGTGTCGGATTTGGAACAAAAAGCTGTCTTTCGATAGACAAGTGTAGTGTACGATTTTTTGTGATAAATTAACATACCGTAACTCATACGATTGTTTAAATTTAAAATCGTACGAAATTGTGTGTATTCATTTATTTTATCCACGTTTCACGCAATCCTTAATTCGATGAAACTTGATAAAAGAAAATAACTTACAGTTACATAATAACAAAAATTGTTGAATTACCGTAGAAAACTTTCTTTCGGTGTCATATAAAAATCGATCTAAAACAATCGGACGATGGTAAATATTAAATGCAAAGTATTTTAATCTTTAAATGAAAGAGATTTCAGTCGTTTATATTCAGGTTAATTCATCAGTGTGCACGAGAACGAAAATAAGCTGGCTATTAAATACATCTCGGTTGCGTGTGTGTTAGTTAAGAGTGCATTGTTAATTATGTCGTTAAACACCAATCGCAATGAATGAAAGAACGATCTGCCAATCACGGTGTAATGAAATTACAGAACGATATCGCTTCAATTCAATTACTTTTACATTGTACCGCATGTATTTTAGTCGCGAATTATTATTAAAACTTCATCAACTTCAGTCATGATCGAGGAGAAGCGGCGCCAAGAAAATCTATTCGCGTAATAACTGCACTTGTTTCTAAGCAATAATTTATTCCATTCGTTGCGTAAAAATACTGCTTTTGCTTGCAACTTTTCTGGGATTGCTTAACAATTCTCGATATATTTTGTGTGCGTGTGTGTGTGTACCAAAATTTCTTGAATAGAATTTCATTAAATACAGTAAATTCTCTCCAATTTTTCTTCAGCTTCTAATAAAAAATGGGTAATTTGGGAAGAGAAGATACGACTATTCGAGTTTCGCGGTTCATTTTTATAGTTGCCGATTGTAATTAATTTTGGTAACTAATTTTATCGTTAGAACTGATGAATCGCTACGAACTGTTGAAGAATGTTCGTGGGTTCGGTTTCGGGACCAAGTAAATCGAAAATATACTTGAAATATTAATATCAAATTTAAAAAAGGAACTTTCAGAAGTGGAAAGATTCAGTAGACATATAGTCTGCATTTAGGCGAAATAAGCCAGCAGTAACAATACATTGGATAAATCCGCAAAACTTTAACTGAGGAAGCAAGTCATAATTATACAATTTCGATTGCCAAAAAATTAGCAATCATACATGGATATATGACTTAAGCGTAAGTAAAATAACGTGCACAATTACTGACAACGGAAGAGCAATTTTTTGAAGGCTTTCGAAGAGTTTAGCTATCACAGAAATATAACAAATAAAGAAGATGAAGAATTGGTACACTGTAACAGTGAGAACAGTGTTTTCAGTTTACCAGATTAGTGACATTCTTCGTGAAAATGAAACCTCAACAGTTGAACATCATTATAATTCACCCGAGCATAATCGCACAAGCAAACACCTTCGTTGCAAATTATTAAATGAATTCGCTCACTTTGCAGCATAGGGCAATGAAAATAGCGACAAATTTACTGTCATAATCTTCATCGAAAGCTTATAGAAAAGCTCGCTTTGTCTATCCGTGCATCTAACAATCCACGACGCATCTTCTTTTCGAAAAGACGCGTGAAAACATTTTTCTACGAATTCTCTGAAATCCAACGTCGGCGAAACCATCCGCCATTCGAGCGTTAATTCTAATGTATTTCGGATTAATGAATAAGCACGAGCTAAGAGAAACTTCTGCTATTCTTTCAGAAAACACGAGTTCGCATTGCGTGGGCTGCGGCGGGCGAATTCACGACCAATGGATTCTGCGAGTTGCGCCGAACTTGGAATGGCATGCTGCTTGTTTGAAATGCGCGGAGTGCCAGCAATTTTTGGACGAGCACTGCACCTGCTTTGTACGGGACGGAAAAACCTACTGCAAACGAGATTACGTCAGGTAACGAGGCACCTACAGTACCACTGCAACGCGACGTTTCAATTAGCACGGCAATTACACTTTTTATCCTTTTCCTCGGTGCCTTCGCTTTTTCATTCTGTTCTACAGAGCCTGCCATCCCGTGGCATTAACGAAATTTTTTACTAGTATAATGAGAACACCGTGAGACCACTTGACACCAGACAGCAGAACTTCATTCATTTTGTACGTTTCTTATGCGTTCGTTTACACGTGCTACAAATTTTCGCGTTTTACAAGAAAAAAATTATTTTCCATTGCCTGCGAGAGCAGTGGCATGAAAATGGTTGAATTTAAGGCAACAAAATTTTGTTTGCGAATATACAGTGACTGTCGCTTAAAATTGTACGCCTAGAAATTCAGCCGATTTTCACTTATAAAACGTGATAATTGTAGGAAACGACTAAAACGCATGTATAGACATGTAGTTCGATGCTTCTTTATTTATTATATAACAACAGTAGAATAAAACTTTCGATAATAGAACTAGCCCGTCAGTAAAAATTGTACAATACATATTTTCAATAATATTTAATACATAAAGCTTATGTTAATATTTTGTAGGAATTGATTTGATCAAATCTTCGCAAAGTCGAGGTGTTATTTTTTACCATTCTTCTTGTAAAGCTTTTTTTTAGGCTTTCTTTATTTACAATATTATGTAAACGTATTTATTTAAGTTACAGAGACCTTCAAAACGCGTTGTTTAAATTTTCGTTAGAAGTTCGCATGAAAAGAATTAAAAATACGAGTGTCATATTCGTTCGTTCATTCCAACAAACTGGAATTTTCAACAAAAATTCCGCAACCATTGCCTAGTAAACTAGTCTCTCGAATATCCTAAAAAAAATACACGTCATTTCGCCCACTCTTAAAGAAGTTATTCTGCTTTAAAATATGTTCGAACATTAATGCGAGTCACGGTGGATCAAACGCAGTAATATTTTTACCGAATAAAAGGCTCGATAAAAGCGTATAACCAAAAGTTACGAGTCGATGACAAGTCGTATATGAAATGAAATAATGTCCTTGGCATTTTAAAGTTCGATAAACGTTTTATAGCCGTACTTGTGAATAATGATATCACGGATAATGATAGAAAGGTGAATGTAAAAAAAAAAGTGAATGTAAAATTCATGAAAGAAAAAGATGACTAAAAATCACAAACGTAGAATTTGTGAAAGAAAAGATAAATAAAAAGCGCTTCAGGCGAAAGTTATTCCTTTTTTCAACGTAGAATGAGTTTCTAGAATAAAGAGTATACCATTATATTTAAAAAGAAAAAGATCGAATATTAAGTTATTTATTAAAATTGAGTGCAAAAGACGTTTCGGTCGAAACAGATAAAAACGGACGCAGCGTGGCATAGAAAAGCGAATATCAGTCTTTTAATTGATTACGGTGTGTGCGAACTATTGGGAAAGGCGCCCAGAATGCAGGTCAACTAGTGTAAATGGGATTTTCATGTAGAACAATTGCAAAACGGTGAAATTGACGGATAAAAAGCGCGTCTTGTTACGGACACCGTGGTGCTACAGTTTACAAGAAAATCTGCTACACAGTAGCGCCCGAATGTTTTTTAAACAGTTCGAACGTTATTTACGTCCATTCCGCCCGCTTGAAAAAATAACAACAAGAAAGAGATCTGCCAATTGCGTACGATCCAGGAGATTTATTCGATAAGATCTGCATGCACGTAGCAATCGTCAATGTTAATAGTGAAAGATTGATATTGATTTATAGCGTTTTACACGATTATTTATATACATGTATGATCGCAATTGAAATTAGAACACGTTCTGCGGTTCTTATTTGTTTTTACTTGTTATTAGATTTTATCCAATTGTGACAAAAGTTAGTAGATGCAGTTGAAAATACGATAAAGAGTACGAGAATTTACGAAAATAATTAAATTCCATTTTCCATGAGAAAAATAATCGATTTCGAGCCTTGGATAAATTGGGAAATTAAATATATAGAAAACGTATACGAAATGAGACAAAAATTTGTTTAAACTTTTAATAAAATATCGACTATACATGCTCGTACTACGACCTTAAAATCTATGCAAAAGCTTCTCACAGGATGCAGTTCTATAGACCAAATGCAACGCTGCATTTTCGTGTAACATATTAAACATTTAAACTTGTTTAAAAGAATATTTAAAGTGAGACAGAGAAATTGTTGAGATATCTATTTTGTAGGATATTTTGTCATTCATTTTTTAATATAAGGGCTTGAGATAAAGCGTACTTGCATCGTGAAAATTCGTTAAAAAAAAAGTACAGTAACATTTTACTTTCGACTCGGTCGATGTTCTTTACTGTTGATCAAAAACTATGATTAGACTACGGATTCTAATCATTTACCGGAAGATGGAATGATGGCTTTTAAAATAGAGAAGAAATTGTAAGAAATCGATGATGTTAACGTATTAATTTTAACTTATTAAAATTATTTAAGAAAGAAACAAAACTGCGTTGGATCCTACGCTTTGCAATCGATGCAGATGTTTTTTATTATATATAATAAAAATAAAAATAATATCATACTATAAAAATCTCCGTTCTGCTGATTTTAGTAAGTTTCGAGCGTTGCTATTTGCTAGAAGCTTGTTCTAATCTTGTTTTTGGAAGACATCGATATATGTACACCCAAAAATTAAAAAAAAAAAGAAGTAAACAGAAAACCGATCGATCGCTCATGACCTGAGATGTTGATAAAAAAAAACGCACACACGCATGAAAAAATGAAGAAATAGCATGCCATGGCATTCGGAAATCGATCAATAATGCAACTAAGTGTACACTAATTTCCACGATAACGCGAAAGAAACGTCGCGATGTGTAAATTAGGCAACCATTGCAGCGCGATTATCTGATAATTAACAGCGAAAAAATTTTTCCGAGGCAAGAATGTATCCGTGATATCTCGCTGAAGGATAAGAAGTTGCGGTAAAATCGAGTGCAATATGGTAATTAATGCAAAACTGGTAACATTCTCGAGCGACACGCGATACGGTCTTTTTGGTACGCATTTGCAAACTGCTGAGATTCCAAAGAAAGAACAAAAAAAAGAGGTGCGCTAGCGGCGCAAAGAGGGAGGAAACGAAGAAAGTAAGAAATGACAGAGCGTTTCTTCGGAGTATTTTTATCTGAGATATGCTGAGTAGAAGTTGCCGGTCCGCTCCGAGAAATGCATCCGGGGCGAAACAAATGGAATTCACACGTGGTTGCATCGAACCTATGAAGTCGAACGGAAAATTGAGGGTCCTCGCCACTTTGTTAGATTAAACAAATTAAATTTTTGCCTTTTCACATTTACGGAAAGCATGTATTAGCTTGCGACGAATATACGTTAGATAAAATAGTGTAAGTCCTCGTGAATGTTTATAAATTTAGGCGAAAAAATCGAAAATTGAAAGTTAATACTTGAATTTACACGTTTAGTATTTTAAGAGTTATTCCTAAGAGTTTATTGTTATTGATTTATAGAATTATAAAGGCGTTTCTTGAAATGTTAAACAGTATAAATAATATACAGAAATAATATTTTACCTTACAATTAATTATTTACAAACCGTCCGGCATGTTAGAAGTTTTCTGAAATTAGATGCATTTAATTAATTAGACAGCCGATTTCTCGTATCATCTTCTGTGACAGTTTCACATAAATACTGAATTAAGTAAATCTAGAGATTTATAAGCAAAAATAACGAAATCGATCAATTTTTTTAATCATCTTTTGGACCCGTTACTTGAAATTCAAGAAAACACAAAAATTAACAGCACAAAGATTGAAACACGCAAATAGTTGCAGGAATTACAAACATGCAAAACAATGTCTGTGTATTTATAACGAAATGCGGAACAATGAGAACAATTCAAGAATTTATTGTACAGTATTCGTTAAAGTGATTTAGAAAAAAAGAGACGTAAATGTCGATGTAGCTTTCGCATATTGAAACGAACACACACAATTTTTATTTTGCATAAAAATCGGCGGTCTAATAATATTTTCAAACTGTCCATTTTCGAGAAACCACAACAATTCCACGACCAGCATGATTCTTTATTTCGGCAGAATTTGTTGCGCCTCGAGCAATCAAATTTTGTTACGTAACTCGAAAACCGCATGACAGAACTTAATTTCACGATTATTAAAATTGCCAGGAATACTTTTACGTAACATTGTTGATAATATTACTTATATTACCACGTGCATCGAGTACGCGTTATCGCAATCAGTAAGCTGTTACCGACAAACGCGAAACGAGTCGGAAGCGTGTCGAAACCGTCCGAAAGGGTAACAAATACAGTTTCTGCAAAAAGATTCCGACCGTCGACAAATCGTCGATATTTCATCTGTTACAATTGCGTAAACAAGAGTCGTACAACGATAAATCTACGCTCGTTTCAAAGCTTGCAGCTTCGACTTTCGTCGCGCATCGTTCGTTTTCTTGTAACATGTTTTTGCATAATTTAGCAGGCGAGAAACCGGAGACGCGCTCTTTCCAGAAGACGTTGCGAACTGAAACGTCGATAAATCAATTATCAAAATTTTCTTCGCTATCGATGCTAACATCGATTTGAAGATTAAAGCCTCCCCTTTACAACGACTCCTCGAACAATGACGTACGATTTCTTTTTAGTCACTTTATCAAATTTCGAACGAACGGTGTATACTTTGCAGTAATAAAAGACAAACCAAGACTTTGCAAGACTGAGCTTGTTCTTCGTCACTGTTACGTCCAGAAAACGACTAAAAAAAAATCGCTCGCCAAGTTTCGAGGTGTCGTTGGAAAGAGGAAACTTCGATATACAAATCTCTGTACAGTGGATTCACGGGGAAAATTTTCCAACGATTTTGCGGACGTTCCAATTTGTGTCACTCTCGAGTAAATCTACGTCTCCAATTTTCGACCGGCTGTATTATGCAAACGCATGTTAGGAAAAAATGAACAACGTGTCACGATGGTAGAG